GTCAGCAGGCGGCGACTCGCCGATGGTGTGGGCCCCTGTTATCGTGATTGGTATGGGAACTACTTGGCCGACAAAGCGGCCAAGCGGGCGGCTACTGTTGGGCGGATCTCTGAAGCTGATCGTGGACGGCTTCGGGAGTCTCGTGAGCTGGTTGAAGGAGTGGCCCTGTGGGTTGCTGCAGTTGGCTCTCGTATTGATGGCACGGACTGCTCACACCGCACGGCGAAGCCCAACAGGCCAGCGCCCAAAGCAATCGCCAAACTTGTGGCAACCAAGCTGATGTGTGACCTCAGGGGCGAAGAGGGTGCCAAGTGGTGTGCCAGGGGCAGATGGTACGACCGCAAATCTGAGTGCCCAGGGAGCATCGTCCCGACGGTGCTGGAGATGAATTCCAAGCTGGACAGGAAGCATGTGCTTGTGGAGCTGGCGCCCGTGCGGAGCTCCGAGCTCGTCAAGGACATGGCGGTGATTGCATGCCTGGTGTGTGGCGCCTCAGCTGCAGCCAGGCCCTCCACGTTCAAGAAAGAGTGCGGCCACCCTGGCAGCAAAGGCAAGGCCGTGCTGTCGAGGCTGGAGAAGAAGCTGGCGCCCACGATCTCCCAGAAGGTCGTGGTCGCGATCAAGACGCTGGTCGGAAGTTTGTCCTCCAGTGGTACTGGCTCGCGCTGATGGTGATGGTCTGCACCCAGATGCGCGAGTACTTACTTGCATGGTCGGGGGCCTGGCCCAGTTGGGGGCCCCCGTGGTCGGGAGCCCGCCGCCTGCGGGCTCCCGTGGCCAGGGGCCCTGCCAGGCGGCAGGGCCCCTGATTCCTCGTCGGGAGCCTGGCTCCCGTGGCCAGGGGCCCTTGCCTGGCGGCAGGGCCCCTGTTCTCATCGTCGGGAGCCTGCCTTGAGCGGCTCCCGTGGCCAGGGGCCTTCGCCTGGCGGCAGGGCCCCTGTCGGCGCGCCCGCGACCGCGGGCGCTGGGGAGGCGGCCGTCAGCCCGCCCCCTTGATGCGCGCGGATCCTCAGCCTCCTCCTTCTCCACCAGGGAACCCCTTCACCTCCCTTGTTCCTCCCTTCCTTCCGGCCACGTCCAGCCGCGGCGAAGAGAAGAGATCCGAAGTGCTTATTGGGCCTGTCTTAGGCCGCCGGTGATGGACCGTGGGAAGTCTTGGAAGCCACTGGAGCGCAGCACACATTCGGGTCGCCGCACTTGCACGCATTCATCGCGACACTGGACGCACTGAGCAAGACAGACACAACAGGAAAAAACAACGAGGTGCAGATGATCTTCAGAGCAGTCGTCAGGCTCAAGGAGTTCGTGGAAGGAGGAAAGCCCGACGATCTGGAGGAATGGGTACACAGCTGCAGGGCCAGCGAGTACTTCAAGAAGGCCAATCGTCTTCAACATATGAGGTCATTGGCCACTCGCAAAGACACCAGAGGAAGATCTCGACCTTCAAAGCGTAAGGTTTCACCCCATGGAGCTAGACACGGCCACCAACAAGGTTTGGATTCAAGTCGACAGGCTGCTAACGCAGGCGCCTCGCATGTGGAGGCCACGAGATTGCCAGGGAAAGCTCCAGTGGGCGGATTGGCTTACCAGATGCGCAAGAAGTAATCATGATAATGTTGATTACAGCAGCTACTTCGGCTCCCGAACCTGAAGACGGACTACCAACGGATGGGATCTTTCATGCAGTTATTGCAGTTCCGGAGTCAGCTGATGATAGACTACAGATGAATGGGTTTTCTTCTGGAGCTGCTATTATTCCAGTTCCCGAGCCTGATGTAGATAGACTACCACAGGATGGGCTCTCTCATGCATCTACTTCAGTTCCTGAGCCAGCTGAGGATCGACTACATATGGATGGGGGCTCTCCTGCAGCAGCTATTTCATTTCCAGAGCCTGTTGTAGATGCACCAATGGATGGGTTCTCTCGTATGAACCCGCCTAAGCCGCTGGAAAGGCAACCAGCTCCGCCGCATCAGACTTCCCAGAATCCGGCTGGCAATCTGAGTGAGTTACTTTGCAGACTTGGTTTGAAGCGTCGTAATTGAGGATTCGGTCAGTGAGCACTGATAAGCTGCGGGGAGGCGAGCCTTCCAGAGGCTAGACGCCCCCGCGCCAGGCGATTTCCGTCTGCCCACGGTCGGGCTAGGCACGGAGGTTACCAGGCCTTGTGCTCCCTGAAGGAGAGGAAACCCAGGTGAGTGTAATTTGTTGTTTCTCACCAGGCTCTGCGGTACCAGCAGGAATTCGTTGTTAACAAATCGGTGCGACTGCAGTATGAAGGGATGAAACTGCAAGTTTGCAGTGGCGCTTCGCGCCATGCACCTTGGTCCTTCAAGTGTAGTGTGCAGGCGGTCTTGCAGGAAGGGCTAACCGACAATTTAGCGATAATTCCTTGTTGCTTTGTCCTGCATCGCCGCTATAATAACGGTATTCGTTATCCTTCCTCCATGTTTCGTTTTCCTCATCTTCGCCATGCCTTGCGCATTCTCCCCATCCTCCTCGGCTCTTTTTGTGGAGGCTCCTCCTTGGAGAGCCTCTGGGGGCCTCACAAAAGCTGCTGCAGGCTTCCTTAAGGCCTTCAGGATGCCTCCTGGGCGTGTTCTGGGGGCCTCTGGGGGCTTCCTCGGGCCACGCTGCCTCCAACCGCGGTCTCCCTGAACGACCAGGTCACAATTTAGAATGCTTCGGAGGGAGTCGTGGGGCCATCTTGGGCCGCCATGAGGTTCTGTGAGGGCCATCTTGGACCCCTGTTGTGCCGTTTTGGGGCTCTCTTAGACTGCCTGGAAGCCCTTTCGGATGGTTGTGGGGCGATTTGGGAGCCTCCCAAACGGCGTCGGGCGCCCAAAAGACCGCCGTCTCGTCTTGGAGCGTCGGGAAGCCGAAAAGAGGAGAACCCCAAAATAAACCAAAAACCAACAGAAAATCAATGATTTGTGCCTCTTGGGGCCTTTTTGGGAGTGCTATCGGAGGCCTCTTGGGACGTTTCGGGACAATCTTTGGGGGTATGACGGCTTCTTGGGGATCGTCGTGGAACTCATTGGGGTTTTCTGGGGTCGTTTCGGGAGCGCGCCACGCCCTGCGAGGCCCGGGGGGCCGCTTTGAGGCCCGTCCGGAAAGTCCCGTAAGCCCCAGATCCCGGGAGTCCTGTTTTTTTTTGGGGGGGGGGCGGGTTTTTCCCCCGCCCAGGCTTGTAAAAATATAGGAAGAGGAATTGATGTATGATACATAGCTTTTATATATATACATATCGCTATATATATATATATATATATATATATATATATATATATATATATATATATATAATATAGATAGATAGATAACTATAAATATAAATATATTATACATACACATATAGAGAGATAAAGAGAACACGTAAGCGACGGCCTCGCCCGCCTAGCCTCCGATGGGCCTCGAGGATGCCCCGCAGTGGTGGCAGTGGTGGCTCGCTCGCTCCCCCTCGCCCCTCCCCCTCTCCTCGGCCGCGCGCCGGGGCCAGGCGCTCGCCGGGCTGCGGGCCGAGGTGCAGAGGTTGGGCGCCTCCGCCCGAGTCCCTCCCAAGGGAAGAGCTCCGGGCGCATCGGGGCCACGGCGCGGGCCATCGGCGGCCCCTGGTGGCCATCGGAGGCCTTCGTTGACCGTTGGCGGACTTCCGCGGCCTTCGGTGGCCATCGGCAGCGAGCGGCGTTCCTCTGCGGCCCTCGGCGGGCTTCCGCGGCCATCGGCGGCTCTCGGCGGTCTCCCGCGGCGTTGGGCGTTGGGCGGGGGCGGAGGGCCGCAGAGCGGGCCGCCGCGGCACGGGTGGGCGGGAGGAGGGGGGAGCAGCGGCGCCCGTGCCAGGTCGCAGGCAGGACGAGGGGGGGAAAGAGGAGCAGAAAGGAAGGTGCCCTCCCCCTCGTCCACCCCCACCTCGTCCCCGTCCTCCCCCATCCACCTCTTCCTGGGCCTTCGCTTGGCGCGGCTGGGGCAGCGGGTCAGGATGGTGCGCAGGTGGACGGTGCCCTCCCCCTCGCCCACCTCCGCCTCATCCCCGTGCTCCCCCTCCACCTCTTCCTGGGCCTTCGCTTGGCGCGGCTGGGGCAGCGGGTCAGGATGGTGCGCAGGTGGAAGGTGCCCTCCCCCTCGCCCACCTCCGCCTCATCCCCGTGCTCCACCTCCACCTATTCCTGGGCCTTCGCTTGGCGCGGCTGGTAGAGCAGGTCTGGATGGTGCATAGGTGTGCGTGGTGTCCAGAGTGGTCTTTAGCTGGGTGGGGAGGAGGGAGGGATGAGGCAGGTTCGGGAGCTCCTCCTCCTCCTCCTCCTCCTCATCCTCCTCATCCTCCTCCTCCTCCTCCTCCTCCTCCTCCTCCTCCTCCTCCTCCTCCTCCTCCCCCTCACTCAAGTAGGAGGGGTCGCCGCTGTTTTGCTCCAGCGTCGCCGTATATTTGCGTATTGCACGGAGAGTTACACAATGCATTCAACATCTTATTGCCGCCATGCCTTCTATCGTACAGTTTCCAACCCTTACAATTCTAGTTGTTCCTCCTCCTCCTCCGCCTCCTCTCCTCTCCTTCTCCTCCTCCTCCTCCTCTCCTCTCCCTCCTCCTCCTCCTCCTCCTCCTCCTCCTCCTCCTCCTCCTCCTCCTCCTCCTCCTCCCCCCCCTCCTCCTCCCCCTCCTGCTTATCACGCCAATGAGTTCACGCGGCGTTGGAAGGTGCCAAGATGCATGTCCACGCTGGAACGGCAGTATCTGGGCCACGGTGCCCAGGCTCTCTTGATTCGTTGGCCAGCCCGTGCGGTCTGGACCCGGATGGCCCCAGGGCATATGCTACATCGGGCCACCGTGCCCTACAGGGTGGTGACTCCAGCAAATTGGGCCCACTCACGGAGTTAAGGCGCCCCACAGCCATGGTACTTGATGTCCTCTCCTGCTTATCCCTCCTTTCTCCGCCAGGCCCCTGCGCTTACAGCATATTAGCCACGACCAGCGACGGGCGCTGAAGTTTGGAGCCCAACCGCTCCAGTTTTGAAGCGCAGCCGCTCTGCGACGCTACTGGAAGCTCGCTTGGGGGCGTTGGAGGGGGTCTTGCGAGCCTCTTTGGGTCTTCTTGGGCGGTCTTTGGGCAATCTTTCCCTATTGACGGCCTCTCGCCCACCTCTTGGGCTGCCACGGGGCCCAGCCACAGATCTCTTGGATTGCTGTGGGGCCCTCTTGATCTTCTCGTGGACCAGTTATGCAAGTTCTCCCTCTTTATCACTCTCCCGAGGCCATCTCGTGCCAAAAAGTACGGGTAGCAAACAAAAACACGCGGTACACAGTCCTCGTGGACATTTGGTGGAGCTTGGGAAAATTAGAGCCGAAATCAGCGCGGAGTGGAGAATCCTGGAAGAGAGCGGTGCCACTGGCCACGTGGGGTGTTCTATTTTGTGGAGGTACGGTGCCGACCAAATGCATCTTATTGATGTTCCGGGAGGCAGATATTAAGTGCCCCAGTCACCCCTTGATTTCGTTGTCGAGATACCCTGCGAGATGTAGCGTGGGCAGCCGGTGCCTCTCACTCATCGCTTGGAGGTGCAAGGGGATTGCTCGCGCCAGCTCGATTGAGCCGATGCTGTCTTGAGCCGGTTGCACTTGGGAGGATGCTGACGACGGCGACAACGGCGGCGATGATTGCGACCACGACGACGAGGCAGAGGTGGAGGATGATGGTGAGGATGAGTGACAAGAGGAGATTCGGTCGGATGGCGGCGAGGGGGAGAAAGAAAAGGACGACGACGAGGCTGTGGAGTATTGACACGAGGCGGACGAAAACGAGGAAAGGCGGATGGCATGGGGGTGTGAGAGGGGGCAGGTGGAGGAGGATGTGGAGGGGAAGGAGGAGGAGGACGAGGATGAGACGAGGAGGAGAACGAGGAGGCGGATGAGGAGGAGATGGAGGAAGGAGAGAATGAGGAGGCCGAGACAGGGATGAGGAGAAAGAAACGGATGCCGATTGGGTGAGAGTGATGGTGACGGTAAGGAAGATAGGGGGTGTAGAGATGGAGGAGCCAGAAGGGAAGGCGGATACGAGAAGGGGGATGGTCGAGCCCGGACGCAGACGAGGAATTGTGGAGCATGAGCGGCAGCAGGAGCATTAGGATGGGGAGCAGGAGAAGCAGAAGGATCATAATGTGGGATAGGAGCGGGGCGGGAGTCCTGCACCCCCCCACCGCCGCGGTGCGGCGGAGGCCAGGAGAGTGAGGCGCAGCAGAGGGAGCTTGACAGGCCGCGTCTCTTGCTTGCTGCCCCTCCTCTCTGCTCCTCTTTCTCCCCGTCCTCCTCCTCTTCCTCCTCCTCCTCCTCCTCCTCTTTCGCCTCCTTCTTGTCCCCCCTCTCATCCTGACCCTTCTCCTGCTTATCTTGGCCATCCCTCTCACCTCCCCCTTCTACTCCTCTCTCCTTCTCGTGTTTCTTCTCCTCCCCTTCCTCACCATCAGCCACACGGGCCGGGCAACTCAAGCGTCTGGGGGCACCGTCGCGGCGTCCACCGCCGCGCTGCCTCACTCCATCCCTCCAGCCGTCCCTCCCTCCCTCCCTCCAGTCCCCACACACACACACACACGGGAGGAGGGAGGGAGGATAGGGGGGGGGCCTGGGAGAGGAGCCTGGGGGCACGGGGAGGAGGAGGGCGAGGAGGAGGAGGAGGAGGACGTAGGAGGAGGACGTAGGAGGAGGGTGAACAAGAAGGGAACGTTGGGGAGAGGACAAGATGAACAGTATAGTGGCACCACCACGGTCAGGCGTATCCGTCATCCTTTCCGTATAAGTTCGTAGTACGTGTCCATTCATGTTCTTTTTCGTTCCCATCTGTCTTCTTTGCATTCAGCATGTTCCTTCATATATTATTCGTCCTCCTCATGCCTCCTATTCATGATCCAGTTCGTTCTCATTCTCACGTGGTCCTCCAATCGTGCTCCTCTGCTTCGTAGTAGTGTCGTGCTTCGTGTACAGGTCGGCATCAAACATGTCTCTGATCCTCATACACATCCTCCTCACCGATCGTCATTCCAATCGACTTTCAGGCATTTGTGTGCAACGACTTGTACTGTCTCGGAAGCGTGACGCTATGCTTCCATGCGCGCATGATGGTACATGTGTTCTTCGTTTCCACCGCTGACAATCCGCATTACGGAAATGCGGCCAGGATTACAGAATGGGAGGGATGCGTTTTTCGGCACCGCAGTTCACATCACCCGCGGATTCAACGAATTACACAATGCTGCGCGTGCTATTCGATTCTATCGTCGACCGTCCACGTTTCTGATCGGTGACGTAGCCTCTGGCCCGTACCCAAGCCATGCAGTTGTTCGACACATCGCCGTTGCCGCACCAATTTCCGAGTACACTCCATGAGCAGTGAATCCTGGTGGATTCACATGCCCGCTTCAGTGCCACGGCCGTGTCAGCAGCAGCGGTGCCACCAGTAGTGGCAGAAAGAACAGTCGTAAGATGATCTCAGTCAGCAGTACGTACGGCATCGGTAGCGACATTAGCAGTAGCAGCAGCGGCAGCAGCAGCAACAACCTCAGTGTGCAGACACTCCTCTTCGGCGCATTGCCCATGTCGCATGTTTCATTACATTGTGTGCCGTCTCTTGTGCACACCCCGTTACCAGTTCATGTTGCTTGTTCTCTCTCCTGCTGTATCCCTCCCTCTCTCCCGGTTCGAGTATGCATAGAATGACGATCCGCCCTCGGCTCCCGAGCGGGGAGCCCGGGTCCCGAGCGCCCCACGTGAACCCAAGACGGCAGCAAGATGGCCCCGTGGCGGCCTCGGGGGGGGCCCACGAAGGCCCCAAGGGGCCTCGGGGGTACCCGCAAGGCGGCCAGGAGGGGCGCAGGAAGTCCCAGGACGGCCCCAGCATGGGCCACAAGACGGCACAACAGGCTCCCAAGACGGCCACGGTGGAGGCACCCGAGATGAGCAAATCGTGATGGTTCCAAAGTTGTTGACGCGATGTTCGCATTCTCGCCTTCACTTGTCGTCCGCCTCCAAGACTGCCTACACATGGGCCAACTGACATCCAAGCGGGGCCCGAGACGTGCCCGAGACGGCCCAAGAGGGCCCCAGTCCCAAAAGAACCCCCCAAAAGGATCAACATAACCCCCAAGACAGCCCAACAGGGCCCCAAGACTGCACAACGACAGACCCAACGAACCCCCAAGGCGGCCCAGAGAGGCCCAACAGGCCCCCGAGAAGGCCTCGAACATATCTTTTATTTCTGTATACATTTTCTCGTTTGTCCTCCCCGCTCTTCTTTGTTGCCCGCCTTCCTTTTTCAGCTTCTGCTGTTGCTGCCCACCACGTTGCGATATGCTTCTGTCGCAGCATTACCGTTGAAGCATGCGAGATGGGCGCGGGAATCTGCAGTCCAACTCCGTCTTTCGGCGCGGTGCGTCCTGGTAACCGCGATTGTTCTTCTAGCCAGCGACGGCTCACCTGCATTGTAGCCTGGCCGTTGCCCTCAGTCGAGACAGGTGGTGTGTCGTTCATCACGTATATACATACGCATACATGCATCTGAGCATGCGTACATACAGATGTGTACAAGACTGCGTTGGCGCTTCGCGCCATGCACTCTGGTCCTGGAAGTTTGGCATGCAGGAGACGGAAGAACAGCGCAATTGGAAATCAGTGTTTTCTTGCGTTTCGAAGGTGTTTTGGGATCGTCTTTGGGTCGTTTTCGGGCGTATGGTAGGTGTCTGGGGCCTTTTGGAGCTCTCGCGGGGCCGTTCGACCGCCCTACCGATTTGGGCCCGTTGCCTAAGCCAAGCAGGGAGGGGATCTGGGCGGTCCCTTTATTTTTTTGGGGGGCGGGAGGTCCCACCGCCCCGGCTTGTAGAAATGTGCAGCTCGACGGCTGGGGGTGAGATCGCTGTGGAACGGAGAGCCCCCCACGGGGAAGTCTGTTTCGGTTTCGTGTCGTGCGTGCGGGCGAGGCGAAGCTCCGTGGGCGGGCGAGAGGGATGACGCCGCCCTGGCAGGGGCGAAACCGAGCTCAGTGTCTCTCCTACCCCACGTCGGCCGGCGGTGGCCTGGGGGTGTCCCGTCAGTGTCCCGTAGTGTTCCGTGGTGTCCCGTGGTGTGTCCCGTGGCGCGGTGTCCCGTGGTGTCCCGTGGAGGCCGATAGTGAGATCGATTATGAAATCGTTTGAGTGAGATCGATAGTATGGTCTGTAGTTAGATCGTTAGTGAGATCGATAATCAAATCGATATTGATATCGATAGTGGGATCGATAGTGAGGTCGATAGTGAGGCCGGTAGTGAGTTCGATAGATAGTGAGACCGAAAGACAGATGCAGATCGATTGTGAGATCGAAGGGTAGATGGAGATTGAGATCGATAGTGTAGTCGATTGGTAACTTGACAGTGAGATCGATAGTGAGGTCGACTGCGAGATCGATAGATACTTGGTCGAAAATGAGATCGAAGTGAGATATCTTGTGAGATCAATCGTGTGATCGAAAGTTAGACAAGTAGAAGTGATAGGTAGTGATAATGATAGATGGGTAGAAGGAGAGACGGATATTGAGACCGATGGATATCAAGTTCGATGGATACTCCGGCCGCTTGATAGTAACATCGCTAGTGACATCGATAGTGACATCGATAGTGGGATCCACTGGTCGCGAGAGCGTTAGATAGTGATATCGAGTACGAGATGGGTGGTCAAAACGATTGATAGTGAAACTGCGCCAAAAGAGTCGCTCGCCGCTGCGCGAAAATACCTCGGACCATATGGCGCGCCACAGGGGCCGCGGGCAAGTAAGTGCCACCTCCAGCAGTGGAGGTGGTATTTGTTTGCCGTCGACTGCAGTGGTGACGCAGTCACCGGTAGAGTGCGCCATCGTGGGTGTGCGTCGTGCTGCTAGCCAGGCTCTGCCAGCCAAAGTTGTTTGATGCTCTGATACTGTTGCGCGCTGCCCGTTTGCGATGCCCCGCTCATCACCAGCATCGCCGCCACGTATCGCCACTACCACATGCATTGTCACCAGCATCGCCGCCATGCATCGGCATCATGCGTTGTCACCAGCATCGTCGTCGTGCGTTGTCACAAGTGTCGTCCCCATCACAGCCACTGCAGTTGTCAGCAGTTGCCCGCTCCCCTCCCCCGCAACCTCCTTATCACGCGAAGGGTGGTGGTATATGTATCTGAGGGGAGGTGGTGAGATCGCAGTGTAGCGGAAAGCCCCCCACCAGGAAATCGGTTTCGGTTTCGGTTTCGTGTCGTGCGTGCGGGCGAGGCGAAGTTGCGTGGGTGGGTGAATGGAATGAACCCTCCTGTGGGCAGGGCGCCGCCGGGCCACAAGACCGCCCCACCCCAGGTTGTCCAGCGGTGGCCTGGGGGTGTCCCGCCGGTGACCCGTCGGTGATAGTGGGATTGGTAGTGAGATCGATAGTCAGATCTATAGTAAGATCGATAGTGAGATCGATAGTGAGATCGACAGTGAGATCGATAGTTAAATCGATACTGAGATCGATAGTGATCTCGATAGTGATCTCAATAGTCGGATCGATTAAGTGAGACGTTGGGTCGTCCCCCCCGAACCTCATTACGAACCGAAGGATGGTCGTATAGGTCGGAGCTTGGGGGGTGAGATCGCAGTGGAACGGAGACCCCCAACGGGGAAATCGTTTCGTTTCGTTCGTGTCGTGCGTGCGGGCGAGGCGAAGTTGCGCGAGCGCGCGAGAGGAATGAACCCGCCGTTGCTGGGCGAAGTCAAGACAAATGATCCTCCCCCGTCCGTCTGTCCGTCCGGCGGTGGCCCTCGGTGTCCCGCGGTGTCCCGTGGTGTCCCGTGGTGACCCGTGGTGTCCGCCGTTGCTAGGGCGAAGTCAAGACAAATGATTCTCCCCCATTCGTCCGCCCGTCCAGCGGTGGCTCGCGGTGTCCCGCGGTGTTCCGTGGTGTATCGTGGTGTCTCGTGGTGTCCGCCGTTGCTAGGGCGAAGTCAAGACAAATGAGTCTCCCCCTCCCGCCCGTCCGGCGGTGGCTTGCAGTGTCCCGCGGTGTCCCGTGGTGTCCCGTGGTGTCCGCCGTTGCTAGGGCGAAGTCAAGACAAATGATTCTCCCCCGCCCGCCCGTCCGTCCGTCCGTCCGGCGGTGGCTCGCGGTGTCCCGCGGTATCCCGTGGTGTCCCGTGGTGTCCCGTTGAGATCGATACTGAGATCGATATTGAGATCGGTACTGAGATCGATACTGAGATCGAGTCGGTGCCCCGAGGTGTCCCGTGGTGTCCCAAAAAGTGAGTTCGATAGTGAGATCGACAGGTGTCCCGTGGTGTCCCGTGGTGTCCTGTGGTGTCCCGCTGGGTGAGATCTATCTATCGGAGGTTGGGGGGTGAGATCGAAGTGGAACGGAGAGCCCCCCTACCGGGAAATCGATTTCGGTTTCGTGTTCGTGCGTGCCGTGCGGGCGAGGCGAAGCTGCGTGGGCGGGCGAGAGAAAGTCTCCTGTGGCTGAGGCGCGGCCGGACCCAATGATTCCCTTCCGGGCGGCCGGGGCCCCGCGGTGTCCCGCCGGTGTCCCGCTGGTGTCCCGTGTGGCTGAGGCGCGGCCGGACCAAATGATTTCCTTCCGGGCGGCCGGGGCCCCGCGGTGTCCCGCCGGTGTCCCGCGGTGTCCCGCGGTGTCCCGTGGTGTCCCGCAGTGTCCCGCGGTGTCCCGCCGGTGTCCCGCGGTGTCCCGCGAGGATGATGATGATGAGATGATGGTGATGATGGTGATGATGATGATGATGAGATAATGATGATGGTGTCCCGATGAAGATGATGAGGTTGATGATGGTGTCGATGATGATGATAGTGTCCCGATGATGAGGATGAGGATGCTCATGATGATTATGTTGATGATGATGACGATGATGGTGTCCCGATGATGATGATGATGATGATAATGATGATGATGATGATGATGATTCCGATGATGTTGGTGATGATGATGTTGATGGAACTGGTGTCCCGGCGATAATGATGTTGATGATGATGATGTTGATGATTATGGTGTCCCGATGACGATGCTGATGATGATGGTGATGGTGATGATGATGATGGTGATGCTGATGGTGTCTCGGTGATGATAACAATGATAATGACGATGTTGATGATGATGTTGCTCATGATGATGATGGTGCCCCAATGATGATGATGATGATGATGTTGTTGATGTTGATGCGATGATCATGATGATGATGGTGTCCCGAGGATGATGACGATGTTGATGATAATGTTGATAATGAGAACGATGGTGATCATGATGGTGTCCCGATTATGATGATGATTCTGACGATGCTGCTGATGATGATGACGATGACTGTGCCCCGATGATGATGATGATGTTGATGATGAGATGATGATGGTGATGGTGATGATGATGTTGTCCCGATGATGGTGCTGACGTTGATGATGATGTTTATCATGATGATGATGATGATGACTGTGCCCTCATGATGATGACGATGTTGGTGATGATGTTGATGTTGATGATGGTGATGATGATGATGATGACGTTGATTGTGAAAGCGATTGTGATATCGATAGTGATATCGATATTGGGACCGAATGTGAGATCGATTGTGTGATCGATTGTGAGATCGATGGTGAGATCAATTGTGAGATCGATCGAATGAGATAGATCGAGTGAGATCGATCAAGTGAGATCGATCGAGCGAGACCGATAGTGAGATCGATACTGAGATCGATAGTGAGACCGATTGAGTGAGACGTTGGTTCCCCCCCCCCCGAACCTCCTTATCACCCGAAGGGTGGTCGTATAGGTAGTGAGATAGATAGTGAAATCGATACTGAGATTGATGTGGTGCCCCGAGGTGTCCCATGGTGTTCCGTCGTGTCCAAAAATGTGAGGGACGATGGTGAGGTCGATAGTGAGATCGACAGGTGCCCCGTGGTGTCCCGTAGTGTCCCGTTGGGTGAGAGCGATAGTGAGATCGATAGTGAGATCGATATTGAGATCGATGTGGTGTCCCGAGGTGTTTCGTGGTGTCCCGTAGTGTCCTATGGTGCCCCGTTGAGTGAGATCGATAGTGAGATCGATAGTGGGACCGGTAGTGAGGTCGAGAGGTGTCCCGCGGTGTCCCGTGGTGTCCCGTGGTGGCCCGTGGTGTCCCGTGGTGGCCCGTTGAGTGAGATCGATAGTGAGATCGAAAAGTGTCCCGTGGTGTCCCGTGGTGTCCCGTTGAGTGAGATCGATAGCGAGATCGATTGAGTCAGATGTTGGTTCCCCCCCTCTTCCCTCCCCCAACAACCTCCTTATCACCCGAGGGGTGGTCGTACAGGCATCATGGGATTGTATGAGACCCCCCACAGGAAAATCGGTTTCGGTTTTGTGTTCGCGGCGTGCGTGCGGGCGAGGCACAGCCGCATGCGCGGGCGACATGAGCGAATCCGCCGTTGTGAGGGCGCAACGGGGCCATATGATGGTTTGCACTCCCCCCAGTTGGCCGGCGGTGGCCCCGGGGTGTCCCCGTCGGCCCGATGGAATCCCGTTGCCAGGGCGAAACCAGGCCAAATCATGATGTGCCCTCCCGCCGATGAGCCGGCGGTGGCCCCAGGGTGTCCTCATGGTGTCCCGATGGTGCCCCGATGGTGTTCCGCGATGGTGTCCAGATGGTGTTCTGATGGTGTCTCGATGGCGATGGCGTCCTGATGGTGTCTCGATGGTGTCCAAATGGTGTCCCGATGGTGTTTCGATGTTATTCAAGCAGTGGCGAAGCGTCCTGGCTCGCCTATAGCCCTACCAAACAATGTTCTAAGAACCTTTCGTGATTCCCACGAAACGTTCTTAGAACATTTCTGGCTGGGACTGTCTTGTTTTAACGCATCGGGTTTATATTCTAAGAGCATTTGTTGGTTCTTAGAACATTTATGGGTTCTAAGAACATTTCGTGGTATGACTACAGGAATGCCGGGACGGTCGGTCCCTGCTCAAGGTATGCCGATTGTGCCCCCATGGTGCCCCGATGGTGTCCCGATGGTGTCCAGATGGTCTCCCGATGGTGTCCAAATGGTGTCCTGATGGTGTCCAGATGATGTTCTGATGGTGTCCCAATGGTGTCCCAATGGTGTCCCGATGGTTGTCCCGTGAGATCGATACATAGGTAGACAGTTAGGTCGATGGATCGTGGAACCGATCGATAATGATATCGATAGGTAGATAGTGGGACCGATGGTGAGATTGATGGTGAGACCGATTGTTAGTGAGACTGATCGATTGATCTGGTGACCGATGGTGAGATCAACCTTGAGATCGAAAGCGCATCACCAGCATCGACATCACGACAATCGTCGCAGTTTTTCTCTAGCCATTTTGGCTCAAGAAGCAGAGAGCACGTTGAGCTTGGCCGAGATCCTTGTAGCAGGCATGGCGCTGGCCAGCGGCAGCGGCGCCTTCCTCTCCACCCTGACGCTCGGAGTCGCCGCAGTGCTGTCAGCAGCGGACCAGGTGCGGAGCGAGCCTGCTGGAGGCGCGGCGCTGCGCCGCTACACGTTCGACTGGCGCGGCTCCGGCGAGCCCCTGCGCACCGTGCGCCAGATCTTCGACGAGGGACCAGACGCGAGCCAGCCGACGCCGCGGCTGGCGGCCAGGGGCCGCCCGGAGGACACCAGGCGTGCCAGGCGGACCGGCGGCGAGAGCAGCGCCTCGCTCCTGGAGTCGCTGTGGGACCGGCCGAGCTACCGCAGCAGGCGCTTCGGCCTCAACGCCACCGCCGGCGAGCACCCCTGCTTCGCAGGCTTCCGCTCGATGGTCGAGGGCACGGACAGGTGCAACGGCTGGACCAGGTCGTACCCGCCTGTGGGCAGCGTCGTGGCGTTCAGGAACACCGCCGTCTGGACGGAATCCAACTTCACTCTGAGAGCCGTGGTGGCCAACCACATCAACGTATGGCTGGAGGACAACAGCACCGAGGTGCACGCAGACCTCGCTACCAAGGCGGCCAACATATACGCGAATGTGTATGACATTCCCGAGCTCCGTCCATCTCCTGATTCGAATAGTTGGATGGAACATGAGTGCAAGGTAATGGGCACGATGCCGTTCATGTACACGTGCTCGGACCGCGTCCAAATTCTTGTTCAGGGTTGCAATGGGATCGAGAACGCGTGGGTCATGTCCAGCGACTTCCTTCAGAACTTCCCCGACCCAGCCAACAACGCGTCGGGCTCAAACTTCGACATCGTCTTCTACATGTGCAAGGAGCTCTTGGACAGCAACCCGAATCCCTACAACGTCGCGAACACGTTCGCGCACGAGCTCGCGCATGTGATCCAGGGCGGCTTCGGCCGTTCCTCTATGCCGATGACCGAGGGAGGGGCCACGTGGCTCGAAGGCCCGCTGCTCCACCTGGCGCCGCGCCCGATGGTGTTCGCATGGGGGTTCCGAGACTGGAATCGCGTCCTTGCTGCCCACATCTACGCCACGACAAAGGACGCTAACGCGCGCAAGTTTTACCAGATCCACGCCATGTTCTTGACATACTTGTCTCAGGATGAGCTCCTGGGAGCCGGGCTGACGAGCGCACTGCAGAACTACCAGTTCTTCGAGGCCAGTATGATTCCTTGGGGGAGGATGGCGTACGATTATTTCCTCCGCCGCATCGGGCTTGGGCGTCCCACAGGGTTCTCTCCCATACTTTTGAACACGACCAGCGAGCATAATGCCTTCGCTGACGCGCTTCTCAATTACAGAGTTGCCATCGTGGCGCAATGCATTTCGGACAGCAGCTTGAGGCCCCGCGACACCTGGTACCGGTTGCCCGCCCACTTGCAGGAGCGGCCGTATTGGGATTGTTCGTCGTTCCCCGCGTTCTGGTCTGCAGACGGAACATCTGTAGATCAGTTTGGAGCAGACCTCCACTACGGGGGAGCTGCTTTCTTCCGCCTGGCAGCGCCGGTGAATGCGACGATTGCCATTGATGCGAGTGCTGACCGGTTTGTCCGCACAAAAGTGGTTGCTGCTGGCAATGCTGCAGTCGACCCAGAAGTCGTGGAGCTGATGCCCGGTGAGCATGCCACGTTCGGCGGCGGGGCGCGCGAGATCTTTGTTGTCCAGGTCAACGTAGATCCCTCTGGCGAGACGTTGCAGCCCGAAGACCACCACATCTGGAGGCAGTCCCCGTGCCAGTGCACTTGTCAGTGCCCCTCTGGGCTTGCGTGGACGACGGCAGTCACCAGCCCTGCCGGCCTGCAGTACCCCAACGACGTGGTGTCGGGCCTCCAGACCCCTGTCCTGGATCTCCCTCCTGGTGACGCCGCCACGCTGAGCTTTTTCGCCAGGTGGGCGCTGGAAGCAGAGGCTGCTCACGCTGGTTCTGGCGACGGCTGCCGCGCCAAGGGCTACGACGGAGTCCAGGTGCGTGTGCACGTCGAGGAGACCGGGGAGATCGCCGTGCTCTTCCCCTCGAACGCGTCGGACGGGTATGGTACCGGGCCAGGCGGGGAGCGAGCGGTGAGCGCGCTCGCGCAGCTCTACGGTAGCGGGGCCCCGTGCGCAAGCCTGGTGGGTTGGGTGGGCAGCAGCGGGGACGACTTCGTTGAGCAGGTCTTCTCGCTGGAGCCGTTCGCTGGCCGAGCCGTCCGCATCGAGGTCATCTTCGCCAGCGACGAGCACTTGGGCGGCGAGGGCTTTTGGCTGAGCAACGTCAGCGTCCGCGCCGCTTCAGAGGTGGTCTTTGCTGGCCAGGACGAGCTCCTCGTTGGCCACGCGTACGTCCAAGAGATCGCCGCCGGTGCCCGCGGTCCGGCTGGCGTGCCCGTCGTCGCCCAGCTGCCGGCCGACACCGGGCCCGACCGCGCCCTGCAGAAGGCGGCACAGGTTCGCTCTGCGGCGTGGCGGGCGCGATGGGCGGCCCCCGCTGAGGGGAGCGAGTCAGCGCTGCGGAGGGCCTACCTGGGCTGGTCCTACTCGGCGCCCACGGAGGAGACCCAGACGGCCATGCTGCACGCCTGGCAGGAGGCCTGCACGCTGCTCGCCGCCCCCTTCGACGGGGCGCTGAGGGAGGCCACGCTGTTCACGCTGGTCGACAAGATCGGGGTCGGCGGGGTGACGCTGCGAACGCGCGCGGCGCAGCCGCCGCACCCGGTGATCGACAGCTGCGCGTCGGAGTCCCCGGGCGTGACGGATCCCGGAGTCCACCGCTTCCGTATCGCGTCGGCGTTCAACGAGTCCGAGCAGTTTCTGCTGTGCGTGGGCGCCGCGGCGCGCGCGCCGCTGCCAGCGGACGACCCGAGCATGGACCCCTTCCTGCACCTGCCGCTGACGAACGTCACCTCCGCTGGCGCTCCAGGCGTGCCCGGCGCCACCCTCCTGCTCGGGTGGGGCGGGCCCAGCCTGGGGACTGCTGGCGCTGGCCCGCCGAGCACCGCCCGCCTGGACCCCTGGCAGGGCCACGCCCCCGCGCTGCGCGCCGAGTTCGTGCAGTCACTCTCCGCCACGGCTGGGCAGCCAAGGCGAGCTGCTGGCCTGCGGGCGACAAGCGACGCCGCTCCCCGCGCCCTCCGGCGGTGAGGCCGCGGCGGTGCGCGAACGCTGGCCTTGGCAGGCGCAGCGAGGGGCCCTTACTACCTCGCTCTCCCTCCCCTCCTCGCCCCCCCCCTGTGGTCATGCTATGCGCGCCCACCGGCGCACATGCCGCCCGGTGCGCGTGCTCTTAGCGGCACAACGACAGGCATTAGTGTGACATCTGCAGCACCTGAGGGCATCACCCCAACGGAGCTGGTGCTGCTACAGTCGAGTCTCTGCGTTTCATTTCTGCCCCCTGGCTTCCGCGAGATAAGCAGGCATGCTTCGCTTCGTATCTTACAGTGCCACAGTGGTTGATTTACATCCGGCTGTTCGGGAGCGACGGTGCACTTTTCCTGCTGCAGCAGACAAGCCATCATTCGCAATAGAATTCGCGCGCACGGCAGGGAGCCTATCTCCATGGCCGTGCTTCGCGGGGCCATCAGAGCCCCTCGGCAATCTTAGCCCATCTCGAACATACAAGTGGTTGGCAGCTCAGAGAAGAGAACAACAAATCACAATCATCGCAGCCTGTTGGATCCCCCCACACGACCTCCTTATCCCCCCAAGGCTTAAGTCGGGCCTGTCCCTCTACAGGAGGAATATTCGAAAATATTCAAAAACTAGTTTGGGGACGACTTTTGTATTTTTTTATTGTTTTTGAACATTTTGGGGGGTATTTTCAATTTTTCTGAAAAATGCCGCCTGTAGGGGGACAGGCCCGACTTGACCCAAGGATGGTCGTGGTAGATGGGAGGTTGGGGGATGAGATCGCAGTGGAACAGAGAGTCCCCCACCGGGAAATCGGTTTGGGTTTCATGTTCGTGTCGAGCGTGCTGGCGAGACGACGCTGACTGGGCGCGTGAAAAGAATGATCCTGCCGTCGCTAGGGCGATTCGGATGCAAAAGTCCGGCCCTCTGGTGGGCGCGCGGTAGCTAAGGGTGTCCCGCCGCGGTGTTTTGCGGTGTCCCGATGATGTCCCGCGGTGTCTCGCCGTCGGCGAACGAGAGGAATGATCCGCTGCTGCTAGGGCGATTCGGATGCAAAAGTCCGGCCCTCCGGTGGGCGCGCGGTGGCTGGGGGTGTCCCCCGTTGTCCCGATGGTGTCCCGCGGTGTCCCGCCGTGGTGTCCCGATGGTGTTCGGATCGATACTGAGATCGATACTGAGATCGATAACGACCAAGATGTGGTGAGATCGGTAATTAGTGAGATGAATCGGTAGTGAGGTCGATAGTGAGATTGGTGGTTGCATCAATCGTGCGAGCGGCAGTGAGATCGATAGTGAGATCGATAGCGCAATCGATAGTGAGGTTGATAGTGCGATCGAGTGCGACATCGACAGGGAGATCTATAGTTGGATCTATTGTGATCGCTTCATAGATCGAATGTGAAGTCGATAGTGAGATCGGTCGAGAGAGATCGATTTTACAGTCGATCGTAAGATCGATAGTGAGTTCGATTGCACCGTGGGATCGATAGCGGGATCCGTTGAGTGCGAGCGATAGTGAGAGCAGTTGCCAGCAGTTGGTTCTTTCCCCTCCCCAGACCTCCTTATCACCCGAAGGGTGGTATAGAGATTCCTCCCTCCTCCCTCCCACTCTTCTCATCTGCCGTTTCTCGTCATCTCCAGCTTCTCTCTTGTCCGATATTCCACGCTTCGCCGATTCATGGTTGTTATCACTATTTCTCGGCGAGACCCCCCTTGTCCGCTGTTGTTCGTCCATCTTGCTCTTCCTCCTCCTCCTCCTCCTCCTCCTCCTCCTCCTCCTCCTCCTCCTCCTCCTCCGCATCCGTCTCGATTCTCTTCCCCTCTTCGTGTTGCTGCTGCCGCCGCCGTGGCCGACACTGTTGCCATTGCTGCTGTTGCTGCTGCTGCTGCTGCTTCTCTGTGCTCCCGCAGCTCCGAGTGGACCGCCCGCCGCCAGGGTGGCCGAGATGGGCCATGGCCTCGTGTCGGGGGCGAACGCATGCGCGGAGGCTTGGCTTGGGCCCGCCCCGCAGTTTTTGTCTTCTCAGATGGCCAGGGCCCGGGGAAGGCCGGGGAAAAGGCAGGGGAAGGAGAGCGTGAGCAGGAGCAGGGGCAGCGGGACCAGGACGAGGAGAGGGGGAGCAGGAGCAGGACAACGAGGGCGACGAGCGCGACGAGCGAGGGGAAGGACGCTGCCGCTGCGGTGGCGGCGGGTTCGGCGGCGGGCGCGGCCGCGTCGCGATGGGTGCTGGAAGCGCTCCAGCAGTTGCAGAGCCGGCTCCCGCGGCGCAGGACAGGTCAAGGAGTGGGCGGCGAAAGGGCTGCGCGCGCCTGAACTTGATAAAGCGCGCCTTTGGCCCCCTATCGCCGACGGCAGCGTTGCGCCCAGGGCAGCTGCACGGGCGGACCCAGAGGTTCATCAACCTCAAGGGCCTCGTCGGCATCAGCGATTCGCCCTACGCCCCTGGGTCGCTGTGATGAGGCGGGGCCAACCATCACTTCCGCTCGTTTCAGAACCTGGGGCTGCTGCAATACCGTCGGTGCGCCGATCGGCCCGCTGCTCTCGGCGGACGCGTGCGGCGGCCACCAGTGTCGGGGGCAGCCATGGGGGAGTGACCGCGAAGGGAGGCTTGGGCGGTAGCATGACCGGGGCCATGGTAATCATGGCCTCGGATGTCACGGCCCCCTCTTCTAATTTCATTACGTCCCCCTGCCCAGCCCTGGGCCGCGCAGGCGCCTCGGGCCACGAGCTGCGAGTTCCCTCTTCTTGGACGCCCCCTCTTTTCGGACGCCCCCCTCTTGGACGCCCCCCACCCCCCCCACGAGTTGCGAACCCCTCGTCTTGGAGACGCCCCCCTCTTGGACGCCTCCGGCGGTGGCCGGCCAGGCCTCGATCCCCGGGCGGCGGGCGGGGGCGGCGGCGAGCAGCACCGGCGCGTGGGCCTTCGACCCGCCGCGGCGGGGCGCGGAGGCTGGGGCCGACAGCCGTCTGGCGCTCCGCCCACGGGGGCGGCGGCCTCTCTTCTCTCGAGGCCTCCCAGGTCCAGGCGATCGCACACATGGATCACGGGGGCGTGGATCAGCGACGGGTCCCGCTTCCATGGGAGATCGCCGATTCCCGCCGCCGAGCGAGGCGGCACCGGCCGTACTTGGGGGAGGGCACCTCACGCAATCCATGGAGTTGGCGACCGCGCGCCAAGTCCAAGGATCGCTAATCCATGTTTGCGCGTCCCCGACAGGTGGGGTCCGAGCAGAGGGGGTCCGAGGGTCGCGCCGCCTCGCCGGCGCATCGGCGATGCGGCTCCATGTGGGGCCCGAGCTTCTCTGCGCCGAAGCATCGCCGACGTCGCCGGTGCATCGCCGATGCGCCCGCGATGTGTCGGCGATGCGGCGCGACCCTCCGACCCCATCTGGGGGGCCTCCTCGCTCCGCGGCGCGGGCGGCGCGAGGGCGCCGCTCTGCTCTGGCGGGGGCGGCCGTGTCCTGGTGCACCGGGCGCGTGCCACTGCTCGCAGAGTGCCTTCAGGAGGGAAAAGACACACAGACACAATTCATCGTCGATTCCCCAGAAAATATAGGAAAATATGGGAAGTGGGGGGGGAGACAAAAGGTAGAAAATATGGGAAACCATGGGGAATCCTGTTATTTGTGTGTGTATTTATTTGTGTGTCCCTGGGCTCCTTCATGCTCGCAATCGTCCGACACAAAAGCACGTCAGCTCTCGGGGCATTCTTGGGGGCTGTTTCAGGGCTCTGCTGATTGAAAGCGCCTGGCGGCTGGTGCCGCCGACCCTGACAGGGGACGACGACGACGACGACGACGACGACGACGACGACAACGACGACGACGACGACGACGACGACGACGACGACGACGACGACGACGACGACGACGACGACGACGACGGCGGCGGCGGCGGCGGCGGCGGCGGCGGCGGCGCTCTGGAGCCCTTCATGGGGCTCTCTTGGGAACCCATTGGGGAGCCTATTTGGGGTCTTCTTGGGAAGCCCCGTGGCCACTTGGAGTCGCCTCGGAGCAGATCTGAGGCATCTTGGAGGCATGTCGGAAAATTTGCAGCAGCCCGCAACAGCAGATAAGAGTGAGAATGGTGCCTCCGAGGGGGTGGCGTCCAGGAGGAGGGGGGGGGATGGTGGTTCCCTTGTCGGGTCTTGAGTCCAAGGTCACGACCCACGGGAACTCCCAGGCTCCCCTGGTCCCCCCGGGACCCCCCCCCCGCGAGAACCCCCCCTCTCCCCGGACCCCCCCCCCACCGTGGGACCCCTCCCCAAAACCCCCCAGGACACCCCCCGCGAGCCCTCCCCGCCAAGGGAGGAATCAGCGGGAAGGAGCTTTCTGTCTGGCTGAATCGCTTGCGGCTCAGGGAGGGGGGGGGGGGGGCGCGGCGACGGCGACGACTCAAACGCAAAAACGTCTCACGCACGCCGACATTGTCACAGGATCGGCGGATTTCTTTTTTGGGATGTCTGGGGAGAGCCTTGACGCCGTCGCAGAAGGCTTTGCTGGGTGGTCTTGAGAGCTTCTTGGCTGCTCGGGAGGCCGAGAATGAGCGCTGGGGAGGAGGGAGTGTTGGCGGCCCCTCGAGGGGGGCTCTGAGGGGGGACCGCCCCCTGGAAACCACAGAAACCCGAGCAGGCACCCCCACGGATGACTACAGGGACCTGGGAACACTCGTGTTCAGTAGCCTTGTGTGTTCGAGAAAAGGGAGGGGCAGGGGTGCTCGCTTCATGAACCTTTGGCCCTCTTGTGGGTGCAGGTGCACGTGATGTTTGGGGAAGAGGTTATGCGAGCACCGCTGAATGCAGGCGAGAACACAGAAGGACCTGGGAGCACTCCATTCAGTGCCTGGCGGCACGGTGGGGGATTGCACAAAAGACCCCAGGGATGTTGACACGCATCAGAGTTCTGGGAGGCACGGAGGCGCACGAGAGGAGCCCACACGGTCGGAGGCAAAAGAGAGGCAGCACGCAGACGCTTGTAGTTGCCAACCGTGCCCTTTCTTGCCCTTGTCCCCCATGTCGTGTTCCTCCTCGCCGTCCTGTTTCTGGTGCCCTCCCCCCTTGCCCTCGGGAGCTCCCCCCTTCCCCCTCCTCCCCTCGTTCCCCCGAAGCCGTCCCAGAACCCTTCCCCGCCCCGCCCCTCGGAAGGGGGAGAAAGCGAGGCTCGTGGATCCGGCCAGTTGTACAAGGGCGAATGGCATCAACGATTTGGTGCCAGCGTTAGCAGCGCATTGGGGGCAGTTCTAAAGCGCGGAAGGTTCCCGAGTTAATCCGATATGAGTTCACGCAGGCATTAACCATTGGAGGATCAGACAGGGAGGAGGGAGGAGGAGACGGAGGAAGAGGGATGATCAGCATGCCGCGCGGCAGGAGGAGGGAGGATCAGAGAGGAAGGAGCGAGGAGGCGAAGAGTGGAGAGAGGGGACGGGCGGAGAGAGACGAGGTACGTCGGAGCAAGCAGAGAGAGGCAGAGGGAGGAGAGAGCAGAGGGAGGGAGGAGGAGAGAGCAGGGGAGGGAGCAGGGGAGGGCCTCGCCCGCGAGGCCGCCGCGGCTGCGCCAGCGAGGCGGATGCCGGAGGACGAGCAGGCCTCGCCCGCCAGGCGGAGACAGGCGCACCAGCGCCGCGGGCGGCGGCAAGGAGGAGAGACGAGGAGGACGGGAGGAGGAGAGGAGGAGGAGGCGGAGGAGGAGGAGGATTCGGATTCGGATTCGGATTCGGATTCGGAACGATTGCGTAGCAATATCGACTGACCACTCTACTTCGGAGCTAAACCTCGCTCCACACGGCTCAAGTATTCTCTCCTCTTCTTGGTTATAGACCTGGGATCGCACGGCTGACTAAGGGCTCTCAACTGCTGCTGCTGCCCAAAGTTGCCGCACGCGACACAAATCCAAACTCGAACCTTGGTATGAAACCTCATACAGTGATTGGGGGGAACCCATCCTCCTCCGATGTGCACACGACTGGGGGGGGGGGAGGCTGAAGGAAGTCCCCTGTTGCAGGCACGAGAGGACAGCATTCGGTGCCTAGCCACTGGGTGCGGCCCGCCTTGGTGCAGCTGTTATGGCACCTCTGGCAGGACTGGCCGTCGATCGTCAGCAGGTGCTCGGACGAGAACAGGGCGACGACGGCGGGCGCGGGGGGAGGCGGAGGGGGGGGGAAGGCGGCAGGCGCAGCAGCAGCTGCAGCTCGGTCAGAACGTCTTTTCTCAATCTGCCTCAGGCGGTCGGTTTCGATAGCTTCGAGGGTCGATCTCATGAGTCGTTTTCTGATGAGCGCAGCTTTTCTCTCGATGTCGAGGACCTGGAACCGCACAGCCTCTGGGACCCGAAACTGCTTGGCCATTTCCCCAGCGAGATGATCTGCTATGACGTTGCCAGACACCATCCACCCTGGTAAACCCATGCGCAAAATAACTTGAGGATTATTCTCGAGGTGAGAAGGAACTTGGAGCACAACAACTTGCTCGTGCAAGCGGTCGGTCATCAGCTGACCGACATCACGCCAGAGATCAGCGAGCTCACCATGAGGGGAAAGCCACTGTTTCTCCCAGAACCCACGGACGACCTCCTCGCTGTCCGAAACGAAGACGACATAACCGGGAGAAAAACGTAAAGTAATGATAAGGGCAAGGAGCTCTCCACGAGGAACAGTTTAGAGGGGTACCTGGGAGGGGGCCCGAGATGGAGGTGGAGGCGAGGAAGGGAGCGAAGCGGTCGACCTTCACGATAGCTAACGTGACCCTTCGTAACCTGGGATCTCGACCGTCGGGGTCTCCAGATGCGCCTCCACAAACATAAATAGGATCTTGCCAAGTCCCCGTCCCAAGACAACCTTCTTCAAGTGACGTAAGCCCTGTGACAAACCACTGCTCGTCGCTAGTAGGCGGGCCAATAGTGGTCCAACTTTTTGGGATGAGGCCTCTGTGCCAGAGACACGCGTGAGCATCGCCTTGCGAAACGGCATCGACGACTAACTCCTCGGACTGGGCGTAGATGTCGTGGCCACTGGTTTTTTTGGGCAGAGCCAGTGTCGGTGAACAGGGGTTTCGGGAGAAAGGAGGCAACGAGGACAAATATCAACATCTGTGAGGCCCTCCTTCTTCCTGGCCTGCATCCATGACCCGCCTACTGCGATGCTAAGTAAAAGTTCAGCAAGCTGACGCCCTCGTGGAGCGTCCTGGAGCTGCTGCAAAAGAAAACGTAGGCTGCGATTGCCAGCGCCGTCCTCCAAACCTGCGCCGCAGAAGTGAGAGGCGGCCTGACGCCACTGTCGAAGCTGCAGTGCTTCGACGAACTCATGCACCATGCCGCGTGTCTGGTCTAACCCGACCAACTGCTCGGCGTTGAAATTCCCAGTGGAATCTGGAGTGAAGTCGCTAGTAGGCCCGTGCCATTGATCAGGGGGGACTGGGCCCCAACCGAGCAACAAGAGCTGATGAATGATGGCAGAGATAGGCCCACGAATGTGACGGGTGCGAACACGAGGGCTGAGTTGCTGCATGTGCTGGTAGATCTTAGGCCAGACTCTCCTGATCCCTGCGCGGCGCGAGGGGAAGGAGATCCAGGCGTGCAGCCATTGTCGCAAACAGCTGGCTGGAACTCGACCTCCAGGATCCTGGCCAGGGGACCTGATATCTAATACGGAAGTGATACACCTGCCCCTCTTGTTAGCCCCAAACACTGAAGCGAGCCGACGACGAAGACCGAGTAACAGAGAACCGAAGACCCCGTAGACTTGGGCCCCATATGTGGCTCCAGCTTGAGGCCCAGCAAGTTCAACACGTTTGGTGACAGCATACCTCTTCGATGCGTGTGCGAAACGACGATGCTTGTGATTCTGTTTGGTAGCTTTAAGAATGCGCTACCGCCTAGTTGCACGTGCTTGTCTCTTACCAGCCCCACCATCAATACCTAGGTAAGGGGCCTGCAAAGTCGCCGGGAGTAAGACGCCTCGAGATTTCAAATTGCGAACTGTCCGCTGGGCGACCTGGTGATCTGAACTCAAGACGACCGACTTGGAAGCCATGGTGAGCTGCTGCTCTTTAATCAAGCCGTCGAGGTCGGCGACGCCGTCTGCGAGTGAAACTTTTGCCTGCTTTTTGGACGCAGTGACGGACATATAGAGATCATCAACCCAAATACGTTCACCCATGCGGGGGTGCATCGTGGTCATGGTTTCGAGTAAAGTAAGTAAGACAGCGCCCAATTCTGGTTCCATTCCTACACCCCTGGACGATGCTCTGTGTCGGCTGAACCCCCACAGAGTGCGCGCCAAGCTGCGAAAGGATGCGCGGGGAGATACAGCACTGCAATTCTAGAGCTAGGAGAACAGGAGGAAAACCGAGACGGAGTGCTGCTTGTACGAGTTTACCTCACCTGATAGTGTCGTAAAAGGATTTGATGTCAATGACTCCGTGGGCATAAGTAGCACCTAACTTGCTAGCGACTTCGGCGTCGAGAATCTTCATGAAAGCTTCAACCGACGGAGACTTCCCCTCGATGGCGGCGTCCCACTCGGGGACGGCGCCCCTGGACCACAGCTTCGAGATCGTCCCGAGCGAGGCTCCAGAGCCTGCAAAACATGGGTAGGGCACCGATAACCTTGTCGCCAGAAGACTCCTTGGGGAGGAGCCTCCCAAAACATAAAAGAAGTTGCCACGGCCACGTTAAAGACGTTTCAATGGCCTCGTAGATGCCAGACAGTTCTGCCAGAGCAAGATCAGGAAGCCTCTCGAAGTCGATAGGGGTGAGCCGATCGACTCCGAGTCCCGCCTTGGACTTCATCCTCTTGAGGGCCCCGCGGAGCTGCTCAACAGAAAGAGGAACTAAATCTTCGACCTGGGCAGCTGAACGGACTGCTTCGAAAACCTCCTGAACCTCGTCAAGCTTGAACTCCTCGGGAGCCCAGAGGGAATGGAACTGCTTCACTTTGGCATCTACGATGTCCGACGGATGGTAGAGGCGCTTGCCGTCCACGGAAAACTCGTCGGCTGCCTGGGGAACAGCACGGAGAGAGCGGTGCACTGCGCCGAGAGAGGACTCTTGCACGATCCAGTCTTGGAACTCGCGTAGCGAGGCCTGGACAGCCCGGCGCTTGGCACGCTGCGAAATCTGATTAGCCTGTGTGTGGATGTCATCTAAGATTCTCATGTCGATAGTGCTGATATCTTGCAGATAGTGCACCCAACGCTCCCCAGAAAAAACTGTTCTCACCTGCTATAATGATAGTGCGTGCGCCTGCGGGGACATCGCCCATGAGACGCCGGGCGACCGCGGTGAGCAGGGTGATCTGCTGCTGGCCGTTCTTCCTCGATCGGTGTCGAAAGCACCTCAAGAGAACTGTATGCAGTCTGCGCCACCATGCGGCAATATAGTCTGAAATTGGCATCTCGCGTAGATGCTCGGCTTTGTGCGCAAGATGAGTAAATAGCCGCGGTCCTGTAGAACGAGACGCCCCACTGTGTTGAGAATCCCCATGATGATTCGTGGCAGTGTTTTCGACGGAACGGACCCAGGAAGCATATAAACCGCTGATATGTAAAATACGAGGCCCTCCGATGTGGAAAGCTCCAGAGTCTCGAACTACAGGCCAAACGTCGTCAAGCTGTTGATGAGTGTAGCCCGCGTCTCGACGCTGCTGCTGCCACGTGCAGAGGGGGATGGAGAAGGAGGGGGAATCTGAAGTGTCCTCGGTGCCCTGGGACCCCCCTTCCGCCTCTTTAAGATTATCGGTGCAACTCGGTGGGGACTGGGTATTTTCAACAGACGGTGCCGATGAGCTAACGCTGGAAGCACTGCTAGACCATTGTATTTCCTGGGCCCAGGGGCCAGGCTCTTCGTCCTCACCATACAGGTCCTGGGAGTGAAAGGGGTCTACAGAGTCACCAGGAGAGCTATCGGGGTCCTCGGCCGACTGCGCTTGAGAAGGCCCCAATAGGTCCCCGAAGAAACCACGGCACGCTTGGTCGAATTTGGCTCTAAACAGGGCGCGACGCTCCTGCTTGGACTTCTTAGACTGCTGCGATTTGCTGCCGGCTTGGGGGGCGAGAGAAGGACGAACCACCTGAGGCAGCTCTCTGCGCAACAAAAGCGACCGAGTAATAAGTTGCATGCCTTGCCCGCGCAGCCGAACACTAAGACCGCAATGCGTGCCCGTGCAGCCCAAGGACGTATGGGCAGGCAGACTTCGAAGCCAGCATGAAATCTAAGTGCGACGCGCCTGTGCCAGTGATACATGTGCTCTCGATATCCGAAGTGAAAACTACTCCACCTACATTTTCGATTTTACCACACTTAGCGAGCTCAGTCGGAGACATATTAAAATCCCCAACCACGATCCACGGAAGTTGCAAGGTGGCCACTAGGTAGGGCCCCTACCCGAGAAAGCCGCCGAGCGTTATCTCCGTTGAAACCGAGGGAGGAAATATCATAGTAGGTGATAACTACAAAGGAATAGCCACTGAAATGGATGACGACTGGGACGAAGCCGTCGAAAGACTCACCTTGACTGGAGCACAACTCGGGAAACTCGCTGGGGCTGCCTGAGGAGTGCACCTGTCTGTGGCCTTGGGCTAAAAACAGTTCACCTCCCTCGCCTCGTGAGCCAGGGGAAACCTGGTCCTCTTTAGGCCGAGCGGGGCTGAAAAAGGACATGAGATTCTCGTTGCGAAACTTACTCCTCCAACTCTCCTGCTCGCTGGATGGGGGCGTGTGTCTCGGCAATGGCAAAGTGATGATGCTGCCCTCTGACGGGGTGAGACGTGATATATCTCCAAGCCTGTTCACGCTAGCAAGAAACGTTACCAAAATAATTGAACTAACAGGCGACGGCTCGTCGCTCTTGCCGAGTGCTCCCTGAGCACTCTCACAAGATGACCAGGTAGCCGCCGAGGACGAAGATGCGCCACTGTCCCCTTGCACGAAGTCACCTCCCCCAGCGCCTGCTGGATGAAGATGCAACTGAGACCCCTTCGCACATGCACCAGTGACTGCCCGACTCGACGATGTAGATGGCGTAGCTGGGGGTGCGGGTGAGGCCCCTGCGCCTCCGACGCACTTGGAGGTGCCTGCCGCGGCAGATGACTGCTCCTGGGCGGCCCTCTGCTGCTGGGCGAGCTCTGCGGCTGCGAGCTTGGCTTCCGGGATCCGCTTGGCCTCAGCGGCGATGGCGGCCTCGTCGTGGCCGCTGGCGGGCGGTGGAGCTGCGGCGGCGCTTCCGCCTGCGGCGGGCGCCGCGGCTGTGGGCGGAGCAGGGGGGGCGCTGGCCCCTGCTCCTGCATCTCCGCCGCCACTGCCATTGGCCTCGCCAGCCTCCTCGCCTGCTTTCCTCTTCTTCCTCGTGCGATCGTGGACCGCTTCCTTGAGCTGCTCCATACGATTCTTCCACTCCGTGATCTTGGTGTTGCGCTCGCCCAAGTTGTTGCGGGCCTGGATGAGCCCCTGCTCGAGCTTCCTCAGCTCGGTACGTTCTGATTCTTCCCATTCGTACTGGTCCAGCTTGCTGAAGAAGTCCTCGTCCCACTGAGGATCGAACATGGTGGGCCTCGAGTCCTGCGAGTTGGGAACGTCACTGGCGAGAACACCTGACTCCTTGGCCAAAGTGGTGATCGCCAGCCTCTTTGCGGCCTCAGCTCGTGCCAACATGACTGATGCTTCGGCCTCCTTGCGCTCTGCCTTCCGAAGGTTGTCTCGAAGTTTGATGACCTGACCAACTGCCTGATCATGTTTAGCTCGAGCGTCCCGAAGAGCACTATCTGCACGTTTGACCGCCTCCTCGGTGGAGATGGCCTTCGCCTCCTTGGAGGTGTTGCGCAGCGCGGATAGCTCGTCCAGGAGAACCTTCTTTGTGTTCAGGTTCTTGGCCCCGGCGATGGCGGTGGTCAGCATACGTTCGAGCTCCTCTGGGGTAGCTGACGGATTGCTTTTGCCGCCTCCCTGCGCGAGAACCAAGTTGTTGTCTTGATTACTAGCTGGCGCATCCTTGTGGGGTTTAGCCTTGAACAATTTGACGGGGGCCCGACACTTGTTGCACTGGTTGTTCCTGGCGGCGAGGATGTCATTCCACCTTGTGGTACTGCACTTGCCGCACTTCGACCAGAGACGGGGTCCCAATCCTGACATGGCCCTGCTTTCGCAGTCGGAAGCAGCTGTCCTCGAGGGACGGGTGGGTGTCCGACAGAACGGAGGGTCCGACTCTCCCCAGGCACCATGTGAAGGCGCAGGGCTGGGCAAGAACACGATGCCTCGCGCACGGGGGCGTGAGGTCTTGGTGCTCGAGCCCAAAATTGCTTGAGAGGAAGAGGAGGAGAAGGAGGAGGAAGAAGAGGAGGAGGAGGAGGAGGAGTAGGAGTAGGGGGAGGGCGGCGGAGGAGGAGGAGTAGGAGTAGGGGGAGGGGGAGGGGGAGGGGGAGGGGGAGGGGGGAGGAGGAGGAGGAAGAGGAGGAGGAGGAGGAGAGCAGGGAGGAGGGAGGAGGCAAGGGAGGGGGGAAGGGGAAAGGGAGTCGGCATGAAGAAGGGGGTCCTGAAGGAGAGGGGCCCTCCTAAGGTTTTTCCCGCGTTTTCGAGTTCCCTGGGCCCTTCTGGGGCAATGGACCGTACAAGCGGTGCTCGGGATGTGAAGGCGATCGTTTTCTTATTCATTGTGTTGCCAATCGGCGCGGGCCCTCGCACCCCCTGCAAAAGGGGGAAATATGGCAGTATTTGGGAACCGCTTTCGTAGTGTATGCTGCTATGTTGGGGTTCGTTTGGTTGTTCGGTTTGTGTTCCTTGTTTTGGTCATGGTTTGTTGTCTCATCCTCTTCGTCGTCGCCTAATTCTGGAAACGAATCCGATTGACAAACCGCGCAATTGGATTCTATGTGTCTACACTGGAAATCAACATGTAAATCGCTCACAAAAGGGTCCCCTTGGACATGGGGGCAGATTTTTTGGGGCCCCCATAACAAAAAAACAAAATAACAAAAAAACTGAAATCCGTCTTCCCGTCAATGTTTGTTTCGGGGGCGGGGTGGGGCGCAGAAACGGGAATGCCGACTGACGTTTGCCTTTGTCGTCCGCCACCGACGGAGTTTTTTGGGAATCCGCCACAAAAGGAATATTTGTGTACATCGCCCACCAACGGCATAAACCACACGATCGAAATCGATGTGTAAACCGCCCACACACGGAATCCGATTGAAAAGCCGCATTAAAGGATTCGAAGTGTAATTCACACTCTGGAAATCAGTGTGTGAGTCGCCCACCAAACTGATTTCCTTTGAAAGGGAGCCAGAACGAGTTCTGGAACTCCGGGGGGGGAACGAAACAAAACTGAAATCTTTTGCCCCCTCCAGTATTTCCGTTTTGTCGGTGGCGGGGCGGGCGCGACACGACCAAAGCGACGGATGGGGCTATGGATTTCTGCCTTTTTTTCCCCAGGAGGATCCAACACTTGTGCAGGTTCTTGTTCAAAGGATTTATTTCTAGTGTTTGGATTACACATGGAATGCTTGTGTGCTGTTTTTCAATCGTTTTTTGTGGGCGACTTACACAGTGATTTCAACTATGTGGTTTACACCTGTTTTTCTGCGGATTCTTAATGGGTTTCGTTTTGTGGGCGAATTGTTCTAAGGTTCCGATTGTGCGGGTGACAAATGGAACTTCTTCGTGTGGCTTTGCAATGATGCCATATCAGTTCGGATTTGCACATTGGTTTCTATGATTCTATGTTGTGGGTTCCAAATGTAACCCGTCTGCGCGACTTTTCAGTGATGTTCTCTTTGTGGGCGATTTACACATTGATTTCTATCGTGTGTAAACACACAAACCCATTAAATGATTATAGTACAGGCGACCTGGCCTCTGATCATATCTTTTTAGAGGTGGATCGCATCCACCTCGAATCAGATCCCATGAGCAGTGGACCCACCCCTTACTAGGATGTTGTCAGATATGGTTCCATTCGCCATATGATCCAATTATGAGTGGATCCACATCTATTATCAGAGGAAGCCTATTGGAGGTGGATCCACCTCTAACGGGATTCTATTAGAGGCCCATTCACATTGCATGCAGATCAATTACCCGTGGCTCCATCCATAACAGGACCCCTCCACTTTTTATGGGATTTTACTAGAGCTGGGTCCTGTCTTGATCGGATTTAATCACAGCTTGCTTCACCGTTACAAAGATTATGTTAGCGGTGGGTCCTCCTCCGGTAGGCTTCCAAGAAAAGTGGTTCCATCCTTGATAAGATTATATAAGAGGTGGCTCCGCATGGCTTAGCAGACATCGCATGGATTCAGGTTACCAGGGCGCTGGCAGTGCTTAGCAAGGCTAGCAGGTGTTAGCAACCATTGACAAGTTTCAGCAGGGCAGATCAGGGGCTAGCAGGGCTTGGCTGGGCTTATCAAGGTTTCGGTGGGCTTGGCAGGTGGCTCGCAGAAGTTATCAATTTTTAGCAGAGGACCAGCAGGGCTTAGTCGTGCTTGGCAGTGTTTAGCAGGGCTTGACTGGGCCTAGCAGAGCTTAGCAGGGGCCAGCAAGGTTTAGCACTGCATCGCAGCGGCTGGCAAGGTGTAGCAACGATAAGCACGGGCTTAACAGTGCATAGAGATAGTTATATCAGAGGTGGCCCCATTTCCCACTGTATTCAAATAGCAGTGATTCCACATCTGATGAGGTTCTATTCCAAGTGCTTCCATCGTTCCTGGAATTCTATGGAGGGGGATCCACCTCTACTGGGATGCTATTAAAGGTGAGCCCACATTGAACGCAATTCACTTGCCCAAAGCTCCCAGCAGAGGTGGATCCACCTCCCATGAAATTCTATTAGAGTTGAGTTCTTCCTTGATCGGATTTAGTTACATCTTGCTTCATCCTTAACATTATTCTGTTGGAGGAGAATCCACGTCTAATGGGATTCCATTAGCAGTGAGATCACCCCTGGTAAGCGTATATTCGAGGTGGCTCCGCATGGCAAAGCAGGCATTTCATGGCTTAGCCGGTTATCAGGGCGATAACAAAATTTAGCAGCGCTAGCAAGTGTTAGCACATATTGGCAGTTCTCAGCAGGACATATCAGGGGCTAGTAGGGTTTGGTTGGGCGATTCGTATAAAATCCAGGACCCTTGGAACCACCTGCGACTAGCCACTGCGATGCCGTGCTAAGCCTTGCTGGCCCCTGCTGCGCCCTGCTAGGCCTAGCCACACCCTGTTAAGCACTGCGGCCCTCTGCGAAGCCCTGACACATTCTGGGAGCCAGGTGCCCGGCCCAGCGAAACCTCTGATTGGAGTTTTCTTCGCGGCGGCTTCATACCTAATGCGGTCGTCTTATTAAAAGGTGGGTCCACCCCTATTAAGACGCTGTCAGAGGTTGCTCAATCCCTGAAAGGAGTTTATCAGAAGGTGCAGCATGACCGGCGGGATTAAATTAGATGTGATTCTACCCCTAATTGTGTATTGTTAGAGGTTGCCCCATCTCCAGATTAGGATGCAATCAGGGGTGGGTCCGCCCTTCAGGTGGGCACATCCCTGACACGATAATGTTAGAGGTGGTTCCGCTTCTAAGATGGTTCCATTAGATGTGTACCGAAACCGCATTAATATACTACTATCCGAGGTGGGTTAATCCCTGATGGCGTCCTATAAGAGGTGGGCCCATCCCGAGTAGGATCCTATTGGCGCGGGATCCAAATCCCACAGGATCTTATTTGGGGTGGCTGCATTTCTGATGGGGCTAGATTTGAGATTGCTCCACTGTTTGTTGGATCCGGTTAAGGCGTGGATCAATTTCTAACAGGATTATATTGCAGGTGGCTCCATCCCAAACAGGATCCCATAAGAGGTGGGGTCCACCTCTGCAAGGGATTCTCCACAAGGTGAGTTCATCCTTATCTTAGTTTAAACACGAACCGATCTACCTTTTGGATAAGAATCCGTTAGGGGTGGGCCCACCTTTCGTAGGATTATATGTGGGATGGGTTTCCAGACAGAAAGAGAGAGAGAGAGAGAACAACAGAAAAATCAGAGAGAGAGGGAGAAAAAGAGGGCTATACATAGAGTTCGAGAGAGAGGGACAAAACAAACAAGCAACAAAGAGAGAGAGAAACAACAAACACCCACATTTCCCCTCCCCCCCATGGAGTAGATTTTGGCTGTTTTTGGCGCCCGATTCGAGCAGGTGTCTACCCCATAGGACGCACTGTTGCAAACAGTCGCATGTAGCAGAGGTTCGGAGCCAGACTCAACCCCCATTTCCCCTTATCCGCTCAATGTTGAAACGCCGAATAAGAAAACGCTCAAAAGGGATCCTGGGCAAAAACAAGGGCCCAGAGCCAGGGCCAGGGCGGATGATCAGATGGGGAACAAGGATCGGGGTGTTGGTTGTTGCTGGCCCTTTTTGTGCCTGGGGAGGCCTCCAGAATCCCATGGGTCAAGAGACAACAACCCACCCCCACACCCACCAGGGCGATGTTTCCTTTTTTCTTTTGATGTTTGTGGATGTAGTCGACGCGGTCGCACGGCGAATAGTACGCATCGCACTAATCCGCGTTGAATGTGTTCTTTTGTAAACCGCGCCGCGTTGTTGTAGAACAGGTGATGCGTTGTACTAGATTCGCGCTGTCGTTTTTAAATAAAAACAACAAACATGCGTTGGCGCATGTGCCCAGAGACGCGGTTTGAGCAATGCTCCAGGGAATCTCGCGCACGACCTTGTGATGGTTTCCTGTCCGGGGCGTTTACGAAACAGTTGTCGGGTCTTCAAGAAACGATGTTGCCCGCAGCTCGGCGGCTGCGTTTTCTGCGCGTTGCCAGGGGGCTTCGCTGGGGTACGGCGCAGCCGCCGGCGGGCGTCGGGTCACAGGCCCCGGAGAGGAGCTCCGAACCTGTGAGATGTGATGTGGCGGGCGCGGGAGTGGCCCGAGTTGCTCTCGTTGGCCCAACGAGGGCAACTCGGGTCCAACGACGTTGGGTCCCAACGACGTTGGGTCCAACGACGTTGGGTCCCAACGACGTTGGGTCCAACGACGTTGGGTCCGACCCGGGAAGCATCTGGACCCAACGACGTTGGGTCCAGATGCTTCCCGGGTCGGGGCCGGCGGCGGCGCGCAAAACGGGCAGGGCTGCCGGGCAGGGCGCTGCAGGGGACGAGCAGGTTCGGGGGTCCCGTGGCCTTCTGAGAGGTTTTCTATAAGCCTTCCCCGAAGAGCAAAAACAACTTCTCAGAAGGCGCGAGGGCTTCTGAGAAGTCCCGCCGCCTTCTGAGAAGGCCTTTTCCTTCTCATTTTCCCCCTCGCTCGCCACCGATTTGGGGGGCACATCCGAGGCCACGGCTGGGCGCAGTTTGGAGAATTGAGCACGCTGGGCCGCGGGGGGGTCCAGGGACCAACCGTGGGCGGAGTCGCGTCGGGGGCTGCGCGAGGGGGCTGCTTTCTGGGAGCGCAGGTGTGGGCTTATTGGAAGCCCTGCCCTCCAAGAAGCTTTCCTGTTCTACAGATATCTGGGAGGATGGTGGATGGGCTGGGGGACATGGCTCAAAACAGGAAAAGGTACCCATACTGCAACCTTTCCCTCGTTTTCCCTTTTTGGGCCTCCTGGGATGCCCTTGTCGCCACCGCTGGATTCGCTTCGAAATCCTGGCCAGAACGCACCCAGGGAGAAATCTGGGGGGTAGCCGTATCGGTATTTTTTGGTGTCCCCAATGGCATGGCATGGCGAGAATGAGGACCATTGACCAAACTGCCAGGTCTACGAACGGGCTGCGAGGGGAACATGGGGGAGAGCGAGAGCGAGGAGAGTTGTTTTACCATGGGGCGTGCAGTCACTTCGATTTGACGCGTCGAAATTGGATTCAAGGGAGTAGAGGAGGATGATGGGGAAGGCAAGAGGAGGGCGAGAGCAAGGATGGGGCGGGGGGGTAGGACCAGGAGGACCATAACGACCACGAGGAGGAGGAGGAGGAGGAGGAGGAGGAGGGAGGAGGAGGAGGAAGCAGGAGGCGGTGCCTACAAGGGGATGGAGTGGCAAGGGGGCGAAGGAGGAGGCCTCCCCTGCCTCCCCTCTCCACCGTCAGGACAGAAGAAGGTCCTGGGTCTAGTATGTCGCGGGATAGAAGGGATGGAGAGAGAAAGGAAGGAGCGGGAGAAGCAGCAGCAGCAAATAGTATAGGAGGAGGGAGAAGAGGAAGAGGAGAGGAAGCAGGAGGGAGGGAGGAGGCGGAGGCGGATGAAGGAGGAGGAGAGGGAGAGAGAGAGAGAGAGAAAGGCCGAGGAGTGAGGAAGGACGAGGAGGACGCAAGAGGAGGGAGGGAGAATGAGAGAGGCCCCGTGCCCCCTGCAAAGAGCCGGAGAGGGGAAGGGTGCAGGACCACTCTCTGGAGTCGGTGCAGCCCCAGGTCCAGTACGAGGCCGGCGGCCCCACCACCCCCGCGAGTTTCCGACGTTGTGGGCGCCGAGCTGGAGGACGAGAGGGAGGGCGGCGGATGGATGGAATAGGAGCGGTGAGGGAGAAGGAGGAGGAGGAGGAGGAGGAGGAGGGCGGCGTGGAGGGAGGAGGATGGTGAGGAGGAAGGAGACGGTGTGGATGTTATCGTGTTGTTGCCGCGTTTGTTGTGCATGTTGATTTTGTCGGGTTGCTGTAGTGGGTTCGTTGTGTTAGTGTGGCTGGTACTGTCATTGCGTAGTTGCGCGTGCTCATGTTCCTATTGTTGGCGCTTACGTGTCGTAGCGTCTTATCGATTTAATTGTTGTTGTTGGCGTTGTTTGGTTATGTTGGTGTGGATATGCCTAGTGTCGTCGTTGATATTGTTGCTGTTGCACTGATCGTGACTGTTCGCATTTAGGCTACTAACTAGCGATCGCACGCGGCATATCGAATGCCCAGCGGGGTTTTCTGCTGGGCCTTTCCAGGCTGTCGGGCGAATTTGGTCGACGTTGAGGAGGCGATGCAGTGTCGCCCCCCGGAGTCGGACTCGGTGGCAGCAGTGTTCTGTGTTCTTATGATTGCGAAGCGGCGTTCCCGAGTGGCACCCAGCAATTCCTCGTGGAAGTGCTGGGGGCTCGCGGCTGGCCGTCGTGGAGTCATGCGGCGGTCCGCGCGTTGCGCCGCAACGATCGACGTCGGCTCGCCGTGCGCGGGGCCGTCCCCGATGGCTTCGAGCTCGCAGCAGGCGTTCGCCCAGGCTGCCCACTTCCGCCCTTTCGTTTCGCGGTGCTCTCGGATGTGTTTCTGCGTCGACTCCCCCGCGTCTTCTCCCCGAAGCTCTTTCTCGCGCATGCGCGGGCGGCCCGGCGGCGGCCCCCACCTCGGGAGTGGAGGGCGCACCATTCCTGGAGCACGCATCCGACGGGCATGAGCGCATAGCTGGGTGGCGAATGCGTCGCGGAAAGACGGTTCAGGCCAAGTCCTCTTTGGGCCCCCTTCGATCCGGTCAGGGCTCGTCCACCTGCGGCGGCGCCTACTCGGGGGGAATTCGCAGTCCGTCGACGGGCCGCGCGCCCGGGCTTTTCGGCGGGCCCCGAAGGGGGGTAGCTGCCGTGGAACACGCCGCTGGGGAAGTTCCTCCCTAGGGCCCAGGTGTGGCGCGACATCGGGCGTGTGATTACACGTGCTATCATGGCGCACAGGGCGCACATGGTTCCGCCCCTGGGCCTCCTGCTGCAAATCGATTTGGTCTTATCAAATTGAACATGGCGCGAGCAACGGGCGTGCTCGTTGTTCCCCGGGCCGCGCTGTTGGACCTCGCCGGCGGCCTTGAGGAAATTTGGGCCCCGTGGGGCTCCCCGACGCAGCTGCCGGACGCACGCGCCACGGCGTTGGTCGACAAATGCCGCGCGCGCCAGCGGGGGCCCCGGGGCGGGGGTGGATTGCAAATTTCACGCTGGCGCGCTGCTTGCCTCGAAGCAGCGCTCGGACAATCGGGTCCGACTAGCGATGCTGCGCGCCTGGTGCGAGTGCAATTTGTCGTGAGTCGTCACGGCGCCCATGGGCAATTGGAGCAACGCGCTGGTCGGGCGGGGTTGTCGGTCGAGGCCGCTGCGGAACCAGTCCTTCGAGCACGGTGGCAACCATGTTGCCGGATAGTCTTGGCGCCAAACCCTGAGAGCATTACCTTTCAGCTTTCCCTTTCCTTTTCCTGTTTGACCTTTTCCCTTCCCCAGGCTGCAGGGCGCTGCGAGCAGAGGCGGTGCTGCGCCAGCTTACTGCACTCGTGCCCCCGCGACTCAGGGCTGCCATGTACAGAGCAGCGCGCCACGGTTGGCGCGCGGGTCGCCGCATTCAGCGCCAGACCCCTTTTCCTTCCGGGTGTGGGTGGGCCGAGGACAATCTTCAGCATTTTGCGTTTCGCCCCCGCCTTGCTGAATTTGGCAGTTCGGCCGCGAGGCGTGCACAGCCCATCCGTGTGTCGCAAACATCGTGGCCGCAGCATGGCGTATCTAGCTCGGCGTTTTCTGCCATTCCTTCCCTCTGTTCGCTGTTTCGTTCGTTCGTCTCTTCTCCGCTCTCCTCCTTCATCTTCGTGATGCTGCCGTTCATTATGATACGGTCGCTGCCAGTTGCAGCCCTTCAGCGCGCCACTGTGGTGTGGCTCGGCTTCTTGCCTGTTTGATGCAGCATTGAGTGCATGTGGTGGATCCCGTCCAGGCTGGAAATCACATCGTCCGGCGGGTGGATTTACATGTTTGGTTGCTATGTTTTCGCGGCCGTGCACGGAGCTCGAGCACAAATATATAAGTCCGCAGTGCTGCCATTTCGCCTTAGCCTTCGGATGAGCCCGACGGCTCGCCAATGGGAGGTTGGCTTGGGGGCTGCTCCGAGTGTGCCGGCATGCTCCACCACCTCTGCACCCCCTTTCTCCCCGCTTCGTGCATCCCCCCTTCCCGGTGCGATCTGCTTTCTCCGACAAGTGGCGCACGCGCCCCCGAGGTTGCGAGTTTTGTCTTCTCACGAAGCTTGTCTTGCCCGCATTTCCGCCTCTATCAGCCCGCCTGTTTCACATTGTTCTTGCTTCGCTCGTTTGCGGCGGCTGTGATCTTCGGCGGTGCCCGGTCTCCTCTCCTCAAACCAAAGCATCTGCGAGAGCTGGAAGAGACAAAGGCCTGTCGATTAAATCTCGATTCTGCAGCATGGAGACCAGAGCAGTCTGCAGGCGCTCCTGCGGCCGACGACCCAGAGAAGCCCGCGGGGGCAGCCGCACAGACCGGCCCTCTGCAGCGCGGGCGCCTCGCTGACTGCGGCGGGCACGGCCAGCGCGCGTGGCCCGGGCTTTCCTCTCCTACTGTCATCCCTTCCTCCACCCTCTTCCCCTTCTCATCTTCGCCCCTCGCACTCCTCCTCGTCTCCTCTTCTGTCTCCTCCCCCCGCCCCCGCTCCTCACTACCCCCCGTGCTCCACGGCCCCCCCCCCCCACTCCCCAATCCCGCCCACCCCCTCTCGTCTACCCTTTTCCCGTCCTCCCCCCTCCCCCCCTCTCGCCCTCCGCCTTTGGCCCTGTGCGGGCACGACTGCAGGCAGGAGGCGCCTGCGAGAGCTCGCTTCAGGCCCCCAAATAAGCATCAAACCTCGCGCAATCTCGTCTCCTCTTCTGTCTCCTCCCCCCCCCCCCGCTCCTCACCACCCCCCGTGCTCCACGGCCCCTACCCTTTTCCCGTCCTCCCCCCTCCCCCCCTCTCGCCCTCCGCATTTGGCCCTGTGCGGGCACGACTGCAGGCAGGAGGCGCCTGCGAGAGCTCGCTTCAGGTCCCCAAATAAGCATCCAACCTCGCGCAAGCCAGCTGCAGTTCATACATTCCTCGTCTCTCTTCCTCTCCTCCTCCTCCTCCTCCTCCTCCTCCTCCTCCTCCTCCTCCTCCTCACCAGTCCCCCTGATCCACCACTCCCCCCACCTCGCCTAGCCTGCCCTCCCCTTCCCTTCCGTCCTCCCCACATCCCCCCTCCCTGCTCTCTCCGTGGGCTCGTTTGCGGGCGGCCTGGAAGGTGGGCGACCTCGCGGGGCTGGAGCAGGAGCTGTGGCCCCGCCTGCAGGAGATGCACCAGGACTGCCAGGACGGCCGCGCCCGTGCGGCGAGGGGGGAGAGGAGGAGCGAAGAGGAGGAGTCGTGAAGGACACGGGTCGCGAGCGAGACGGGCCTTTTGAGGAGCCTCGTCCTTCTTAGCCTTCTCGCGGCCCTCCACGGGCCCGAGGAGCTCGTCTTGCGGGGGGGGAGGGCCCCCCGGGGCCCAGGACCCGCTTTTCCGTCGGGAGACCCGCCTTCTCTCCAATGCGAGCGAAGGGAGGAGAGGAACGACGGCGAGGAAGCATGGGGGGGAGGAGCAGGAGAAGGGGGATGCCACACGAGGAAGGGGAGGAGGAGGAGGAGGAGGAGGAGGAGGAGGAGGAGGAGGAGGAGGAAGAAAGCTCGCCGGCCCACTGGGCCAGAGGCGAGCTCAGATCTCCGGCAACTGGTTAACGATATTCTAGTTCGCGAGCGCGGGGCGGCTTCTGGGGGCTC